AATCCAGTTTTCCTCCCATGAAGTCTCCTCTTTCCATTATGCCACACATGCTTTCCATACGTGCCCAAAGCTGACTTTTTAAAGCATTTGGAAGCAGTTCATGGAAGTATGAATCATTATTCTTTATTTCCTCTTTCTCTCCCATTTTTTGTAAATATACATAAATTTACAAGTTTAAATCTGCTATTGTATGAATGCTGAAATGATAAATAGGCTAAGGGAGAAGACAGATATGAAAAAAACTAGCAGTGTTTTACATCTTATAAGAAATATAAATGGCCCATATTCACATTTAAAGAATTTGTGTAAAGTAGGACACAAATTTATAGGCAGCATTTTCAGCATGTGTACTTTATGTTTTTAAATAGCTCTAGTTAAATGCTAAATGTGAATTAGTGATTTCCAGATATAAAATTTACAGCCAACTTAGGGTGGTATCGTATGCCTGTTCTATAATGCAAAAGTTATGGATATTATATTTAATACCTTCAATCATTCAGTAAACAGCAAGGTGCCCATGCTAGGTGCTAGAGATACATCTGTGAAAGACAGTCATACACCCTGTTTTCACCAACCAAAAAACAAGTCGTTTGAACATAATGTGCAAAATATAGTGATAAGAGAATGAGAGTTATTAGGGAAGTACTTAGGATGGAGCATCTCACCTAAACCTGGCTAGTAAGGGGAGGCATCTTGGAGGAAATGACATCTAAACTGGGTCCTAAGTATTGAATTCAAATTAGCCAGGTGAAGGAGGTGGTCTTGGTAGTTGAGGTGAGCAGGGCAATGAGAGTTTTTAGGCAATGTTTAATGCTTGGAGACTTGAGAAATTGAAAGTAGCTGGGTAAGCAGAGAGAACCATTGAAGATTATCTTTTTATTATAGAAAACTTCAAACATATAAAAAGTAATAGAATGAATCCTGTTATATACATCACATAGCTTCAGCAACTACCAACTCATGGCTAATCTTGTTGAGACCACTTCGTCCATCCCAGTGGATTATTTTGAAACAAATTTGAGATATCATACTATTGAAGGTTTATAGCAGGAGAGTGAGGTTATCAGTTTGCATTTTAGAAATTACTTGTTCCTAGTAATTCTAAATTACCTTTAAAATGAATGCACCATAGTTTGGGTGTTTCTCATTTACTGCCAGTTATGCAAAGACATTTGTCTTTTTGTACTACCATGACTATTTATAGTAGTTTGCGGTTTT